ATAGTGATTCTGTTGAACATGTTGATTCACTTAATATTTTTATTTCATTTGATTCTACATTATCTTTCACATACAGTCCCACTCCGCCACCCACCCGGCCTGCTCTATCCTTCCGATATATTTTATATCCCGGTATGATTGTGTCCCACAGATTTTCCTCATTCCACCAGGTTTCAGTGATGCCTATTATGTCTATCTCCTCCTTTAATACGAGGTACTCTAGTTCACCTATCTTTTTAGTCAGACTCCTAGCATTTGTGTAGAAGCACTTTAAAAATTTGCCACTGCTTATTTATTCGTCCTTCCCTGAAGCATTGGATTCCTTTATATGCGGTTGTTTGTCTGCTCTGGCCCATGGTTTGTCCTCTCCCTTCCTCTCTTTCTGACTACAGCTTAGAGGAGAATTCATTGATAGAGATTCTCTAAGAGAAGTCTCCACCCGATTTATGTGGCTTTCCCCCATCTCTTAGTTTAAAAACTGCTCGACAGCCTTTTTGATGTTTAGTGCCAGCAGTCTGGTTCCACCCTGGTTTAGGTGGAGCCCATCCTTCCTGTATAGGCTCCCCCTTTCCCAAAAGTGTCCCCAGTTCCTAATAAATCTAAACCCCTCGTCCCTACACCATCGTCTCATCCATGCATTAAGACTCTGAAGCTCTGCCTGCCTACCTGGCCCTGCGCGTGGAACTGGAAGCATTTCCGAGAAAGCCACCATAGAGGTCCTGGATTTCAGTCTCTTTCCTAGCAACCTAAATTTGGCCTCCAGGTCATCTCTCCTACCCTTCCGTACGTCATTGGTACCTACATGTACCATGACCAGCGGCTCCTCCCCAGCACTACACATAAGTCTATCTAGATGCCTCGAGAGATCCGCAATCTTCGCACCAGGCAGGCAATTGACCATACGGTTCTCCCGGTCATCACAAACCCAACTATCTATGTTTCTAACGATCAAATCACCCACTACTAACACTTGCTTCTTCCTAACAACTGGCATTCCCTCCCCCTCAGAGGTATCCTCAGTGTGAGAGAATACCGCAACATCCTTTGGAAGGTGATGGTTTCCCTCTGCTCCCATTTAATGCTCTGTTCTCTTGAGACTTTCATCCTCCTTAAGAGCACTGGGGCTCTCAGTCTGGAGGTGGGGCAGTACTACAGTGTCCAGGAAAGTCTCATCAACATAGCTCTCTGCCTCCCTTAGCTCCTCCAGTTCAGCCACCCTGGCCTCCAAAGCCCGAACTCAGTCTCTGAGGGTCAGGAGCTCCTTGCAACGGGTGCACACATATGCCACCCGCCCACAGGGCAGGTAATCATACATGTTACACCTGACGCAATAAACAGGATAGCCCCCACTCTGCTTCTGCTCTTCTTGCTGCTGGATAAAGAATCAGCCTAAATCATCATCTTAATTCCATCTGGTTACATTTAATTACATCCCTCTGTATCTTCCTAAGTTAGTGGTTCCCGAGTCAGGTCCTACTGAGCACTTGCTGGAAATCTGTGGTGAGCTCGCTGGTCACATGGTACTAGCTGCTGGCTGCTACATTTAATTAAAATAAAAGACCAATACTTTCCTGAGGGGTCTTTTCCACGTGAGCAGTCATAGCTACAGGAATGTTGTATGATGGGACGAAGGGGAATTGTCAAGGAGACAATTTTTCTGGCAAGATGTGATCATTACTATGAAATGCATTAGGTTCACTTGGCCTAAATCCCCACCTTCCCATCCTTCAGATACCTGGCCATTCTTTATATTAATGTTAAATGTTATTATTTTTTAATCTAAACAGGAAAATAAATGGTTAATTGCTATAGGGTGTGATGATTCAATAAGTTGCTTACAACCATCTCTAATGCCTACTACTAAGTCTATAAAATGTTTATAATCTCTGTGAATCAATTATTTACGCTTTATAAGACCATTATAAATGGAACCTGACTATCAAGTGTGACCAGGCTTGTGCAGCTACAGTACTTCCCTCACTTAGTCATTGTTCAGCCAGGCTGAAATACTTAGCTTCTTTAATCATCTGTCTGAAGTTGGCCCCTCCATCGCCCTGATGACTCATATAACCCTTCTCTGAACTCCCTTTGGGCTGTACTGAGTGTTTATAATCTGGTCTTTTCCTGTATTAGGTATGTTCCCACTGGGGGGCTGAAGATTATTGAACCAGCAGCTCTTGTGCTCTTTGTGTGAATGTGCCTGCTGAAGTCCTGCCCTCCATCCATCCGCCTGCTCTGGGATTTGTTCTGCATCCCCTGGCTCAGATCTGAATTCTTGACAGTTCAACCAGTCATTGTGCTGCATTTTCCAAGGCTGCCTAGAACACTTAGCAAAGAGACGTGAGGCTGGTCAATGGGATAATAAAGGCTCTAGCTCAGTATCTGGGCTTTGTGGCAAGGAAGAGACTACAGTTAATCTGGAGGGTGGAAAGGGGTGGCTCTTGATTTCTGTTCCTGACTGTGCCACAGATCTGGAGTGTAACCTTGGGCAAGTTCCTTTTTCAGTCTGTGCCTTAATCCCTTCTATTAAGTGAGGATAACATAATATGCAGGAGAGTGTGGAGATTGACTGATACTTGTAAAGCAGCATAAATGTGAAAAAGTGCTGCACTTTATTATTTATTATTATTTAAATTAAGTGGGTCATTATCAGGAATGTAATCATGATTAATAAGGTGAGCTGTTGTTGGAAACACAGGTGAGGAAAATATAAAGCCAATTTATAACTTTATAAATTTACTCATCATGATGAGCCTGGTCATGTAGCTGAGGAGCCCCATTAAAATCAATAGTGTTACTAGTGTGACTGAGGCTTCCTCACCTGGGTGGGACTCTGCAGGATCAGAGCCTGTAAGCAGAAAGTAAAACTGTTATTTTCTTGCCCAGTTCTTGTTCAAGTATCTTGTATGATATTTGGGATCCCAGCCCTGTTTCCATGGAAAGCTCTATTCTCATACCATTAACCACCCCAAATCTTCCCAGAACCTAAATGTTGACTCGATGCTATTCCATCCTGAAAATTACAGAAGTCAGAATAAATTGCTTTTGAGTTCACTGTTCCATATGCTTAGCTCTGGGTTTATCTCTAGGGGGGATTATTTAATTATCTCGAGGAAGCATCTGCTCTGTGCCAGGTGCTTTCCCAACTCCCCCTGCTCTGAGGATTTTAAGAACTTAAGAATGGCCATATTGGGTCAGTCCGAAGGTCCATCTAGCCCAATATTTTGTCAGTGGCCAATGCCATGTGCCCTAGAGGGAATGAACAGAACAGGCAATCATTATGGGTACGTCTAGACTACAGGGTTTTGTCGACAAAGCAGCTTGCTTTGTCGACAGAACTGAATGTAGTCTAGACGCTCTTTGTCGACAGAAGCTTCTGTCGACAAAACCCTGTAGTCTAGACGTACCCATAATGATTGCCTGTTCTGTTCATTCCCTCTAGGGCACATGGCATTGGCCACTGACAAAATATTGGGCTAGATGGACCTTCGGACTGACCCAATATGGCCATTCTTAAGTTCTTAAAATCCTCAGAGCAGGGGGAGTTGGGAAAGCACCTGGCACAGAGCAGATGCTTCCTCAAGATAATTAAATAATCCCCCCTAGAGATAAACCCAGAGCTAAGCATATGGAACAGTGAACTCAAAAGCAATTTATTCTGACTTCTGTAATTTTCAGGATGGAATAGCATCGAACATTAATTTATCTAGCTCTTTTTGAACCCTGTTATGGTTTTGGCCTTCTCAACATCCTCCCACAAGGAGTTTCATAGGTTGGCTGTATGTTGTGTAAAGTACTTCCTTTTATTTGTTTTAAACCAGATACCAATTAATTTTCCTTTGGTGACCCTCCTCTCCCAGTTCTTCTGTAATTTTCAGGATGGAATAGCATCGAACATTAATTTATCTAGCTCTTTTTGAACCCTGTTATGGTTTTGGCCTTCTCAACATCCTCCCACAAGGAGTTTCATAGGTTGGCTGTATGTTGTGTAAAGTACTTCCTTTTATTTGTTTTAAACCAGATACCAATTAATTTTCCTTTGGTGACCCTCCTCTCCCAGTTC